ACTCCAAACTCGAAAAAATGTCATTGTTTACATCGGGCACATGTACTCCGCTTTAGGTGAAGCTGTAAGTCACAACACAGCAGCTTCTTGCTTAGACATGTTTACTTAACAAAGGTGTGATAAAGCATGCTAATATTTCTGTACCTCATGTCTCATGTTACGTATATGCGTGTGAGTTAGGCTAAGCTTTTTCATTGTTTTAAGCGTTGTTGTTCTGCTCTTGATTTGTTCTGCGAAAGCGAAGTCCATCATTAAGTATCGCGACTTGATAAACAAGTTTTCTCTTGATGAGGTTTCGAGTATGTCTCGAAAACATTTTGAAACCGAGGATTTCCAAAGGAATGCAGTGTTAACACCTGTCTTATTAGTTGGAAACATCCAACGAACTTACAAGTTTACTTAAATAAATAAATAAGTCCTTTTGTGAATCAAAAAGTGTGATACAGTGAATGCTCATAAAAACAGTGATTTATGAATCATGAGCAGTCTACAAGGATATACAAGTTTTAGCGAATAAGAATAACATCGTGGATGTTAACAGGAAACTGTTAGTGATGAAAGTTTTTGAAAATACACTCCACCACTCTACGAAGGGCTTCTTTGTGTCAACAGCTTTATGATAATTTGTATTGGTAACAGGCTTCCGGAGACGTTCAGTATTACTTGCCTAGTCACTTATCTAAGTCATTTGTGTTATATTCAGTGGCTAAATAAAGCTTTCAATAAGTGTGTGAGATTTCTACGAATAACACGACTGCTGAAAAAGATTATTCTCATAAACATCTATACTCTCTAATTTCGGCAAATGTAATCAAATGTCAGGCGAAGACAGATATAAACGTTTTATTATCTGTTGACTTGAAAGTCATTTCGTCTTCTGACATGCAAAGTCTCTAGTCAATAAATCTTCATTAGCGCATTATATGAAGTCAACAATCATCACAAAATGATATCGAAGAGATCGGTAGAAATCCTATCATATTTCTCATTCGCATTGTCAAACCTCAGTCATATCGGCGGTCGGGCCTAGATCTATAGACCATTAAAAAAGATGGTGGTTGATATCCCACTCTTCGACACTGAATGTCCGTCATCCGGTGTCATTGGTGGCATAGAAAATGCTCTGACATCTGATAAAATATTGGCGGGAGCCGGTTATTTGCAGAAAAATGATGGTGTTAATATGTAAGGTAATCCACTGAGATTTAGTTCTGTAGAGCAATAAAATATGGTCGTATAATGGTATTCAAACATTCGGTTCTTTAATTTTTCGTTGATCATGTAATATGTTTGTATCTGTATCAAACCGTTGTTTTGTGTGATAAAGTAGTGATCAAGCACTCCGTGTAGTGGGAAAGAGCTTAGAAATATTTCCAAGAGAAAACAATGTAGGCTACTGGGCTTATTTTTCCGAATTCCTATCTTTATGTTAGCAATAATGCAAAAAAATTTGTCAGTGATAATGTAATGAACTGGACTTTTAATACTATTCGTTAACAAACACACCAGTTAGCAAAGGCAGTGGTTAAAACATAGTATCATTGAAGGATTTAGGAGAAGCAATATGTTATCGACTGTCTACCACTCCCTAAAACTGAAAGATGAGAAATACAATTTAAAAAATTGGAAAATCCAAGGTGAATAGTTAAATTTCCGATTTCGTTAAGAATTTGTTGAGTCTGTATTGTAAGTGTAGTGGCTACACAAACAATGTAGTCGCTTTTTAATTTTATGCGGAATTTAATGTTGTTGAATCCTCGACTTATCAAGCCCTTACTAGCATTTGGACTATTAACGGCGAAATGTCGTTCCTTGCCGTTAACCGTTCTTTCGGTTTCAACATTAAAGCAGGTTCATACTGTTGAATTCACGAATCGATCTAAGCTAGACTACCATTGAAAACCTAGAAGCGCTGGATGGACGTATAGTCTCATTACGGTGCTCTACAGCAGTACGTATCCATGATACCATACATGGGACTCGAACCCATGACCTTCAGTCTCGCGCACGAACGCCTCACCACTAATTAACACCCAAAACACAACAGTGGTGACAGATGGTGGAAAGGGAAATCGATGAAGATAGTTTTGGAGATCAATTCAGGTTGCTCATAAATTTCAGTGATACTGTGCTTGCTGATAACAAAGGTCTTCAGCCATTAGCTTTGATACACTGCGTAGTACCACTAACCACATACTCAAAACAATCAAAAATGAAGTTAGTTACTGAGTATTAGTAAGTAGTACAGTGTAAAACACAGGAGTAACTGAGCTATATAGAGATGAAGAACAAACGTATAAACACTGTCATATAACTGTGATCGACAGAACTCAGTTAGCCCACATCGCTTGATTTGTCATGGAGACTCATATAGTGCCTCTAACTTGTTATATTTTAGATGGGCTTACTGTTAATTAGAGTGATTGATAAATGCACGCTTTGAGAAAGAGTTCAAAACACACGACAATTAAGGAATAACTGATAATGACACTTAATCCTCCCAGGAAAACACATCTTTTTGTCATTATTTTCCTAAAGCCTTAATGTTCATTTTCTTGGGGAAAACTTAAAGGAAATCTTCTTCTTAAGGTGTAACTTTAACTTATATTCGTTTGGAATCTCCTAGCGCACTATAGTTTTATCTTATTTCAAAGTTTTTGTGACTATTTATCACAAGAACGTGCCTTCTTTGTTTGTTTGCCAACTGATTCTTCTTGTAAGACCGTCTTTTGGATTAGTCGTGATTACAACAAGAATGAGAAATATATCATCCTGCTATTTGAGTCAAAGTTTTTATTGCACAAATACACTTTTTCCCAAGGCATATTGTCTATGCATAATACCATTACCATTCCCACTACTCTAACACGCGTCTCGATAATTTCATTGAGTTGAACTAATGTGATATGACAAATTAAATGGATGTACATGCATGTTCAATTCTGGTTTGTTTAAGGCTGACAGAATAAAATCTAGGCGAGAAATTATCACAATTGGGTCTAAGACATGTCAATAACTCATGACAGCGCACTAGTATGTTTTTTATAAGACCTAAATATGATGCACAGATTAGTACAGTCTAGTGACCATAAATACCGTTAAACTTAGAAAAGTATCCAATGAAGTGTATTAAAAACTTTACGATAATAGGATAGAATCAAACCAGCACTGAAGTATTAGACAGATATCACACTAGTCAGTACTTATTTATAAATCGATTTCAAATATTTCAACTTTAAATGTGAGTAGCGATTCGAATAGACCAGTGGTAACATCTCCAACTGCGAGGCTAAGCGACAAGGATTCAGGACCGGCATGTAATATGAACTGCCTCAAGGTTACAGATACAGCTTAACAACTACTAACAGCCACTGCGAAGCCTATCGCCTTTAGAGGATTAGATATACACCACCTCCAATCACGTGACATCTTAACATGGTGTTATATCACAATGAGAATAATGAATGGTAACTGTCGGAATGTATTTCTGGACTAATAATATACATATATTATTATTGTATAATTGTTAAGTAACAAAGTATTCATATTCAGGTTCCTCTTATCATAAGCTTTGTTTTGACCTATGAACTATTATTATACGATTTACTATTATTGAGTTATGCCCAGTCTATTAATTACAGTCCCCTACATTAACAGCCACCTTTGGCAGGATTTTGTACAAATGCGTATTTTCTATTTTGTGGTGTAATGTGGTTGATGGGGTGGTCCAGAAGACTTTTCGCAAAAGACAACAAAGGTTCAGCAATCACTAAGACACATTTTATCCAATCAGCGTTCACTAGAAGTTTAGCCAAAAACATCAAGAAAGTAAAAAGTAACGTACAATTTCTGATTGGCTGATTACTATACTGCTACTGTGTTTAGAAGTATTCCAGGATTTTCGAGAAACCCAAGGACATCGAAAATACTATAAAAACCCTATATTTGTGGTGGACTAGACGATGTATAAACGTGGAGATAGGCCTGACAGGCTTATTTACAAAATAAGCTTGTCGGGTCTATCTCCACATATTTTCTATACTAGAAAGAACCTTTGGAGTAAAGTACTTCTTGCATATTTCGCGCCTTTTCTCTCGTGTTCAGGTCGCTGTGTAGTTCTAGCTTGAGGGTTACGAGAATATCTTAGGAACCGAATATAGTGTGTTCAATTAGCAAGACTTATCAGTGGTCTGTTTGGTTTGTACATAAACCCAGTATATTTGAAAAAGATTATTCATATGTCAGAGGCTGAGATCGGTGTTCTGGACTCGAACAGGTAGGGTTAGGCAGGAAGAAGGATCGATAAGGACTTCAGATGGTTCGTACGGGCTTATACGTCATTGGTCTGGTCGATAAGTCATTGTTCTCTAATGAGCAGTATCATTACATTACATATTAATGGGACACAAGGCCACAAGTTGTAAAACATGGTTCATATGATGTCAAGTCATTTAGACTAATAGTCACATTGTAACTTGATGGATATAATTCAATCAGTATGACACAAAAAGGACTAAATCATCATGATTGATAGATTAATTATAAATAAGTTGGTGAATACACATAAATTCGTGTACATAAAATCTGAATATAATATTGATAAACTGAATAAAAAATACATAAAATTTCATTGAAATAACAAACAGAATAAACTCTTACGCAACAAATTTCGCATCGAATAAATTAGATACGTAACAAATTGTATCATGACAATGACAATAATTATATATATATATATATATATATATATATATATATACCCCACCCATCTTCCCCTCACACCTCTTTTTTCAGTGTACACATGCGAACACAAACAAACAAACAAACAAAACATGAAGTGATTGATTCCACCACTTACTCTTTCAATCTGTAGTTTAAATATGCTTATGAATGATGAGAGAGAGAGAAAAAAACACAATAAATAATTCATCGAGTAAAAAGAACAAGAAAAAAATAAAAGAAAAAAAGGAAATAACAAACACACAAACAAAAAGACAACACATATAAACAAAAAAATTATAAAAAAAAGAGACTATACATAGAAAAATAGTTTTAAATGAATAGTTTATAGGTTTATTATTGATATTAGAAACAGCCATAACATATAAAAACAAAGTAAGGAATGTGTTCAATGTAAACAACGAAATTACACTGATATGATGAGGATTAAAGAAGATAAAGTTACGAAACAGACCCCCCCGTCCTCATTCTTTATATTAATAACTTTCTGACCCAGTGAATATACGATTTAAATCTAAACTGGCTAAAAGACCTTCGATTAATGTTAAGAAACGACCTAATGCTTCGGAATAACGTGTAGCATCTGATTTTAATTGAATATATGCTTCTGGATAACGTATTAATAATGATTTAGTTTCATTGAAGGACCCAAGAGGTAATCCAGTCGGTGAAGTGATTGACGATGGCATTGTTTCTGGATTATCCATTAATAATAATTCAAATAAGTATAAACGTGAAGGAAGTGATTGTATAATAACCTAAAGAAAAAAAAGAGGAGAATGAAAGACACGAGAAGAATTTTGCAAGAAGAAATCTTGTACAAATGTGTACTTTCTATTTCATGGTATGATATGGTCGGTCTTGGTTTGTACATAACCCAAGCATGTCTGAAATACATGATTCATATCATAGAGGCTGAGATTAGTGTTCTTGATTCAACAGACAGATATAGGCAGGAAGAAGGACCGATAAGGTCCCTAGACTGCTCGTCCTTGTTTTATGCGTCATTGATCCGGTTGATAACTCACTGTATTCTAATTGGCAGTATCATTATGTTATACAATGGATAGGGGCACAAACTCACAAGTTATAACAATTTCAACCATTCCTCACAATCTAATGTGAATTATACTTATTCACTATTGATGAATAAAGTTCGAGAATAATAGACTTTAGAAGTGTTCTAATAAGAAGTTCTAGTTGATGTTGAGAATTATTGAAAGGACAAAATAGTGACAGAAAACTGGTTTGATTGGATTGTTGGTCTATGAAATAGTGTGTGTATTTTAAAAAAAAAGAACAAAGTTTGGACAAATCTTACCGGACAATTTTATAGTTGGACTATACTGTGTAAATCATTAAATGATCTTCTAATTATTAGATTTATATTGGCAAAGAAATACTAATAAATCTTTTTTAATCAAACGATAAAGACTATCCTATGTGCGTGCTACTTATATTGATATAAGTAGTATATAACGCGAGTCAGGAATGTAATGTCTGGCAGCAAAAGATAGGGAAGATCAAGAAAGGAAGAGTGGGAATAGAAAGCAATTAGTATAGAAATGCAAGAACAATGAATTCCGAGACAATTACTGAACATTTTGCAAATGAAGTATTATAGTATGGTTTTTCTATTTTACGAAGTAACTCTGTAATGTTGTGAGAAATATAATTCGGTTGTCCCCACCCGTGTTCTGTTCACTACAATTGGAGCGACATACTTCTTGTAAGATAAAGGTAGTGGATAGGAAAACCTGTTTAACCTAGATTTCATACTATTTGATACTAACTATCAGTAAAGTGTACATGTAATCTTAAGGGAACTCGTCAGAATAGTATATTTCCACTCTTTAAGAGAGTGATGATCCTCAAACGAGTTAACGCAGTGTAACTCACTGTTACAATAAGAAAAGCTGTAATTAATCTATTTTACACAGATATAAACATCGATTCATAATACTGAGTAGTGAACAAGGTTATATTTGTCTTGTCCAATTAATGACTAAATTTGATTATTTAAGCTGAAATATATGACTAAGATTATTATTCAGCACAAAAACTACATCCAGAATTTCTCGTTGTATTCGATCATCTAAAAAACATTCATGCAACTCACTTACATATTGAGTAAATCTAATCCAATTATGTAAATTTGTAACTTTGTATTTGAAGGAATTATTAGTAAGATAGTTAGTCGGGTGTCCAAACCAAAGTGTATAGAACGATTTTAAACATTGCAATCTATTTATTGAAAGCTAAGAACGTTTATGATTAACCTATCACTCTACGATTATTATCAATTCAACTAACTATACAGGTAACCAAGGTCACAGAGACCTTCATCAATTTCATTTCACATTATGTTTGATTCATATGAATAAAATAGATCATTCTATTGTTTAATTCAAATGTAAATATCAAATTACTACTTACCATAGCCATACCTCGTACAGACCATGAATGAAAAGGTCGTAAACATCGTGTATACGCTTCATTTGCTATAGTAACAAGGCTTGTATCAGTATTTAATGTATTATTAATAAGTGAAGATGGATCCGGTGAACAGAATAAATGATGAATAAATTCTCTGACAAAATTCAACCATCTATATAATGAATAATTAAAGAAAATAACAAATACATCACTCTATGACATAGTCACAGAGAAACTTAATTTTACTACAGTAAAAGGTTTAATTTGATTAAATAATCATAATTAGAGGTAAAACTATATGATATCGACGGACTTGAGGAATCAATCCAAATTAAGCTAGATGATAGGAGAATTAATAACGCTATTGCATGTGAGCGAGCTAAACTATCTAGCTTCAAGTTTCAAGTCCAAGATTTTCTTAATTTGAGGCTTGCCTTATTTCTGATTGTTGTCTATTATTTCCCATAGTAAACGTGAGTGCATTGTATGCGCTGGCTGAGTTGTCGATTCACCATTTCTTTTATTCTACTCTTTTCTAGTCCCCACCTTCACGCTACTATGCATGCTTCGCTATTACACAAAGCACCATCTGTCTAAACGCGAACCACTATAGTGAAGATAGCTTGTTGTTGAAACTTATGACTTTCAGTATATTTCATATTTTAAAAAGATTGGATAATAGTTCACATATGTAATGAAGTGTTAAGGTCAATAAGTCAGGGTTAGGAGTATAAAAAAAAGTCAGAGTTGAAGAGTTTTAGGGTTGGTAATTAGGTTTTAAAAGACATTGAACTAATAATTAGGGCATAAACTAATTACAGAACAATGAACTAAAGACTAAATTATCGATATTTAGCTCTCAGAATGATGTTAAAACTCTTAATTATTAGCAAATGTATAGCTTCAAAAACGACCAGTGTGGTAGCAACCTCAGCAGCAGTAGGTCTCAACAAACACAAAGGGAAAAGCAAGATTCTCCGATACAACACAACAAGCAGCAATCGAATCACACTTGACGGAGAAGATTTAGGAGATGTAAAAGCCTTTACATATCTGGGCAGTACCATCGCTAAACACAGTGGATCTGACGCAGATGTGAAGGCGCAGATCGGAAAAGCAAGAGCAGAACGTCTATAATTAAAGAACATCTGGAACTTAAGACAAATGTTAACCAACACCAAGGTTAGAATTTCCAATACAAATGTCAAGACGGTTCTACTGTATGGGGCGAAAACTTAGAAAACTACGAAAGCCATCATCCAGAAGATACAAGTGTTTATTAACAGCTGTCTACGCAAAATACTTCGGATCTGTTGACCAGACACTATCAACAACAACCTACTATGGGAGAGAACAAATTAGATCCTAGCAGAGGAAGAAATCAGGAAGAAGCGCTGAAAGTGGATAGGACACACATTGAGGAAAGCAACAAACTGTCACAAGGCAAGCCCTTGCCTGGGATCCTCAAGGCCAGAGGAGAAGAGGACGACCGAGGAACACATTACGCCGAGAAATGGAGACAGACATGAGGAAAGTGAACAAAAATTGGATAGAACTGGAAAGAAAGGCCCAGGACAGAGTGAGTTGGAGAATGTTGGTCGGCGGCCTATGCTCTATTGGGAGTAACAGGCGTAGATAAGTAATGTAGTCGGTTGACTTCTGAAAACCTAGAAGAAAAACAAGTCGCTGAGAACCATTTAAGTGTGTTTCTTTCTTTGTGTGAACATCAGACTATTAACTGTATAACTGTCTATCCAGAAACCCCCGTTATACCCGTCCCGTCTAACATTATATTTAACTCAAGAAATAACGTAATATCAGTAAATATAATGACATGCAATTCTATAGACTGTTCATTTACATTGGTAATATTTTCACAGGTTTAGAGAAAAATATACAATACTACTGATCAATGTTCCATTTTGAGGCATGTGTCGGTGGATATAGATGACCGGTTTAAACCACTTTGTCAAACAAACTTTTCTTGGTTTGGTTTGCTTTCCAGAATGCACTTCAAAATATTTACCAATATTGCATTATTTCTTGAGTCGAATACAATGTTAGACAAAACGGGTATAACGTGGACTTCCCAATAGATAGCTATACGATAAGGAATCTGATACTTACATAAGGAAAGAAATACACTTAAATGGTTCTAAACGACTTGTTTTTCTTTTAGGTTTTCATAAATCAACCGACTACATAAGTATATGAAAATCAAGAACTTATGTGAATTAACACACACACACACACACACACACAACCAACCAACTTCAAGCACTTCCGATACTGAATGCTCAACTCATGAACTAAGCTATTCAAGGTTATAGATACAAAATAACGGTCAATATGATTGTGATCTAACTTTTCAACCATATTCTATACTACTATTATTGCATTGTAATTGCATAACTGAACAGAAAAAAGAAAAGATGTATCACAAATGTTTGAACTAACCGCCAATACACATTTCTATGATTAAATCTAACTCAATTATGATAATAATAAATTAGTCTTGATGAAACAAATTACTTAGTTTTATATAAATGACGTACACACTAATTAAGTTTCTATGGAAATTCCAAATTTATCATTAAATTGATAGAAACTTGTCTAAAAAAACAGTAAACCTTTTCCGCTGTAAACTTTTAACATACTTCTTTTTAAAAAAAGAAACGAAAGAAAACCGGTGAAATAAATTGGTGTATTTTAAGAAGTATTTGTTGGTATTGTTGAAAAGTTAGAATTGAATTGACTATGTGTTCATTAATTGTTTGATTAAATTTACAGGGAAACTCAAGATCGATAGCATTCGATCTGCACTAAGAAGAACCTGACGTACATGATATTGATCACCGCCCAGTGATCAATCAATTGTAAATACATCTCAGTCCTACAGGAGGTCTGTTGAGACCCGGATAGCCCAGTAGTAACGTCTCTGACTGTGAAGCTGGGTGACACAAGATCGAATCCATCAGGGAGCACCAATTCCATCAAGATTACAGATACACCTTGCTGACGAGTGACAAATAGCACGAAACCCGGGACCAGGGTTTCCTGTTGACTGCTTCCAAACACTATCTTATCTCAACATAGTGCATGCAATGTCGAGTCACCTAGACTAGTCACCACATTACAACTTGGTCTATAGCATTCGATCTGCACTAAGGACTTGACACACATGACATTGATCACCACTCAGTGATCAATCAATTATGAACAGTGAAACTTTATCTATTCAAATGGATGAGTGAATTTCGTGCCAAAAATATGAGACCTGTTATCTTACATGTGACTGGTTCGTCTATAAACCTCATCTTATGTTACTTTCTTTAATAATTACACAAATTACTTGTTGTCAGCCAGTTCTATGAGATTTCGTTCATCAAATAAAAAAGGTAACTCAATCAACGAACTGCTTTGGAGCACACTCTGTGTACTCAAAAACCAGTCTATCAAATAGTGAGTAAACTGAACAGTTATATGTTTAATTTGACCTTAAAATTGAGAGATGCGTTTTTTGAAAGTGGAAGACAAGGATCTCTTATGAGTATTATCGAATAGCCGTGAAAGTAATGCTGACTTTTTTGCGTAGTAAAGATGGTTGATGAAATAGAGAATCTCAGTTAAATAAAGGAACTATAAAATAAGTTGTGTATACACAAACACCTTTCACTTTGACAAGAAATAATCCGTAGAGTAAGTGTATGTTAGAACAAAACTACGTAAAGATGAAGTATAAAGTCAAGGAAGTTATATGCTGTTGGGTTGAGGCATTTTAGTTGCTTCAAGCTATATGATGAGATTCATACGATAATCGTGATCAGCGATAGGAGACGCCAGGTGGCTGCATCTCCACACACAAATGTATTCTTTGTTGTCCCCTAGATTTCCAGTTTCGGTATCATATTATACTTTTTTCCATGAATTCAATCCTTTTGAAAAAACGGACTTTATGTTTAACCTTTTTCTAAATATCAATGATATTATAGTAATCCATTGGTTGTTCCACATTGATTTAGTAGTGTAATATGGGAACGTGGACCGGTTATGCACGCTTATGCAAGGTGTCATACTAATTACAATTGATTGTGTGAGAATTAGTAATACTACTTGACTGGCAAAATTAAAGCCAGCTCTGTGTGGGATTCGAACCCGTGACTTGGTGACTAAAATTTAAACAACTTAACACCTACGCCATAACTTCACAAACTTTAGTGCACAATATAATACTGTCATTTATCTAGTTATTTGCTTTAAAAAAAACAATCTGTGGTTAAACACCGTATTTTAATTTCTGTTCTACTCCATGCATAATGAATCTCATGTGTTGTCATCATACATCAAAAATGATTGTGGTATTGTCTTTTCTGTCAATAATTTACCTTCAATTCAATCAAATACACATATACACACACATGTAATGTGTAATTAATTACTGTAATTGATTTACCCCATAACATTTATTCATTGAAGAAACTTTCTATCATGCGCTCTTGTCAGGGAATGCCAAATGTTGATTCATCAGTGTGTGTGTGTGTGTGTGGGTGTACGGGTATGCATATGTGATAATTAATAAGATTTCATAAGGCAGATATATAATCGATCTTTCACATATTTTTATGCTTTGACAAATATATACATGGAAACTCTAATCATTATTCGCTTAGATATTCATTTTAACGTTGATAAGTGAAAAAATCTATCGGGTAGATGAATATTAGGTGATGACGATAATCAATAATTTAATAATACATTGTTTGTTTAGAAAAAATGAAAATCATAAATGGGTAAAACACACATTAAGTTCATATGTTTTACGCATACAAAAAAGGAACGAAGTATTTGGTATAGTCCAGGAAGTAGTTAGGTAAATGATACCCTTCCCCAGTTGAGTGTATTTGCTAATCCTGATTACTTGATTTACAGATTATACCAGTCATTATTTCTTATCTTCAAGTGCTTTATAGTAGTAATAAGAACTAATTTCAGACTAATTCTCTTGGTAGAATTTTATTTTATTATTTTATTTGAACACATAAATATTGGTACAAGAGAGCGCCAATATATATGCGCCACACAAAACAATGAGAATTCGAAGAGAAAAGAAAAGAAAGGTAAGGAGCATAGAAAAAAGAGAACAATAACGAAGAGATTGGTGTAAGGTAGTGT